GGTGTTGTAGCTGGCACCTGTGGTCCCAGCTACTTGAGAGACTGAGGCAGGAGACTTGCTTGAGCCCAGGAGTTGGAGGTTGCTGTGAGCTATAATGCCACGGCACTCTACCCAGGGGGACAGCTTGAGGCTCTGTCTCAAAAAAAAAAAAAGTATCTAAACTGAAGTATAGAGGGGGGAAAAAAAAGAATGGAAAGAACAGAGTCTAAGAAACATGTGGGACTCTAATACATGAGTAACTGCAGTTACAGAGGAAGAGGAAAGAGGACTTAGGGCCAGAACAAACTGGAAATGATCCAAATATCCACATAGGAATAAGAAAAGACAACAAACCATTGATACATGTGCCAACATTGGTGAATCGCAAAGATGAGTTATGGAAAGAAGGCAGACATGAAAGAATGCTTACTTATGATTCCATTTTATGAAGTTCAAGAATAGGCAAAACTAAGCTACAGTCAAAATAGTGGCTATGTCTGTGGTGTACTGATGGGAAAGCGTGTGAAGAAGTAGGAAAGGCCTACACAGTTCCCTTTAGCCTTATATGTCTCTACGTGGTACACAAAGGCCAGGCTGGACTGCAGTCTGCTCTAAGTCTTGGCAGAATGTGCTGTGATTCCTCCTGAGTGAGGGGAGGTCAGCAGCTCAGAGAGTACATTGCCACAGGGCCACTTCCCTTCCCTCTTTCTAGTTTCAGCTAAAGTGCAGGATAGTCCACCTGGCCCACTGCCTCCCTCAGAGCTCAGCTGCCGGCTATGAAACTACTTGGCTAAAATTTGCTCTTAGCTGCAGAGTGACCTACTACCATGGCTCCTGTCACCTGGTTACTCCAGTTCAGTGTCATTACGTGGAACCGGGAAGCAAGAAGCTGACACCATGTTGGCCTTGCTTTTGCTGTGTGAGTAATAAGCTATCTGGATCCATTTCAGCTTGCTGTCTCCAAATTGGATGAATCTATATCATGTAAGTGTGGCAGTCCCACCTAGAGGTGACAGCAGCAATAGCTGTGGCCTTGTGTTTAGGGGACTGCTTGGCTACTTGACAGACAGGAATCTTTTGGGTAGCTATGAATGCCCTAGGTTTTGATATGTGTGGTGATTATACTTGTGTATATGTTTGTCAAAACTCATCAAGCTGTACACATAAGATTTGTGCCACATACTCTAAGTTATACCTCAATTTTTTTTTTTTTTTTTTTTTGAGACAGAGCCTCAAGCTCTCCCCCTGGGTAGCGTGCCGTGGCATTACAGCTCACAGCAACCTCCAACTCCTGGGCTCAAGCGAGTCTCCTGCCTCCGCCTCCCAAGTAGCTGGGACCACAGGTGCCCGCCACAGCGCCCGGCTATTTTTTGGTTGCAGCCATCATTGTTGTTTGGCGGGTCTGGGCTGGGGATTCGAACTCGCCACCTTAGGTGTACGTGGCTGGCGCCTTAGCCGGTTGAGCTATAGGCGCTGAGCCCCTCAATTTTTTTTTAAAGAACCACCAGAAAACAAAATACAGTTCTTGAAATTTAAGATTATCACCAAAATTAAAATTTCAATAGAAGGACTAGAAAATCTCCCAGAACACAGGCAACATAGGAAGAGACATAAAGGATGATGAGCTCAGTCTAACACCTTGTATCAGTTAGCAAACAAACCTGAGAAGCTATTCCCACCGGCGATAGAAGAAATTGGAATGAAACAATGAGATGCATTTTATATCTGGCTAATCAACTCAAACAAAAAATCTTCAAGCTTATTAATACAGTTTTGGGGGGAGCAACAGAAATCCAAGTGTCATCACTCACTTCAATCCTTCCTCATCTTTTGCCCAGAGAACCTCACTGCTACAAATTCCTCCTAAAGTAACGTCTTCATCTGTTTGGGCCGTTATCGCAAAATACCATAAAATGGTATTCATCAACAACAGAAAGTTACTTTTCACAGTTGTGAGGGTTGGGCGGTCCAAGAGTAAGGTGAGGGTTTGCCTTGTGGGCGCAGAAGGAGCTGCATTCGCGCGCGGGGGAGGGGCTGGCTAACTGCAGTTACTTTTCAAGGACACTAATCCCACTCAAAATCTAATCACCCCAGGTATACCTCCTCGTAATGTTACTTTACGGGTTAAGATTTCAATATATGCATTTGGGGGGTACACATGCAGACCATACCAGATAGTTATTTTAAAAGAAGATAACCATGGAATTCACGGAGATGTTCACTGCAGTATCGTTTATCATTGCTGCAAAATCATAAACAACCTAGATGCCCAGTTAAAAGAAGCACCAAGAAAAGTCCCCGTCTTATCTCCTGGGTGGGAGGAGGAAAGGGTCTCGGTCAATGCCCTCAACCAACGGGCTCCGGCACCAAGGAGGCGAACCATAACTGCGTAAAACTAAGGCCCCCGGGCCGGGACAGGCCCAGGATGCTGGACTCGCGCTCCGCAGTCGGGTTGGGGGGACGTGAGCCGACGTGCAGACAGCGCGCTGGCGACGCTCACTCCAGCGCGACGCTGCGAGGACTGAGTCGCGCGCCCCTCCCGGCCGACGGCGGCTGCGCACTGCGGCCCCGCGGGCAGCACCAGACTCCCGGCCGCACGCGTCGGCAGCGGGACGGAGCGACCGCGGGCAGACGCCGGCTGCAGGCAAGGGCCGCCCAGGCCGACCTTCCATTAGCACCGCTGGGCGCGCGGTCCCCGCCCGCACGCGCTCGGCCCGCAGCGTGAGAGGCTGGCGGGCGGGCGCCGCGGCGCGCGGAGCCGGGGCGGCGAGTGGCGGGCGCCCGCCTGGGTCTGCGTCACTGCCAGCGCGCGGCCGTCGCCCTTGGGCATGTGAGGGCGGCAGCTTGGCCAGCGGAGCCCGTGGCTGCACAGAGGCCACCGCGGACGGTAACGGGCCTGGCGGGTGGGGAGGGTGGGCTCTGGCTGCCCAGCCGCGGTATGGCCTGGACGGCTGGAGCGCGAGCGGCGCTGCGGGGCCGAAGGAGCCCGGAGAGGGCGGGAAGCTAGACTGGGCAGCTGTAGTTAAGGTCCCCGGGGCTGGCAGAGATGGGAGGGTCGGGAGGGGGTGTTGAGCGGGCGGCAGGTGCCTGCCCTCCGACGAGATCCAACTCTTTCTCCGGCTCCACCCACGGTGGCCTGCACCCAGTTCCAAGGGCTAAAAATACTGCCCCAGGCTCCTGAGCGTAATCAGATCGCGCTAAGTAGGGTAAGAGGCAGAGGCCACCAAGCTCCCGGCCCGCAAAGCCACCTCCGGAGTGCGGCCCCGCCTACATCCCACGAGGCAGGTTAGTGGCCTGGGGCGGTAGCGCCAGTCTTCTGAAGTTGCCCCACACCCTGGAAGCCGTGCCTGGCCCTGGCCCTGGCCCTGGGCAGGGGATCTTCAGTAGTATTGAGGGCTTCCCAGCGGTCCCTCAATGCCCTGTAGATTGCAGCTGGAAGTTTCCCACTGCAGAAATCAGTATACTAACCGGGAGAACATACAGGACTTGCTTTATGTTAGAAACATAGGCATTGTTCTTTTTTTTTTTTTTTTTTAAAGAAACGCATTCTGTGTTTCTTGCTGAGAGAGGGCCGGTTACCAGACACGGCTTTAAGTGAGGAGCAGCCTGATGGCAGAGGAGGGGTTTCTCTTTGGGCTCTGGCTATATCTTTTAATCAAACAAAATAGTGACTTTCATTCATTTGAAAGGAGAAACATAATGGCCCAGGAGCCTAAGCAGGTACCTTCTTTCCACAATATCGGTTGTTATGCTGTAAAATAATAAGCAACCAAATGTTGTAGTCTGGTGAACTCTGCAGCCAGAGCTGGGACTCTGTTATGCTGGCCCCTTTTTGTTTGTTTAAATAACATCAGCTGGAGAGCATCATCTCCACCCTAGGGGCAGAGCTGCCACCAGGACTAGCCCTAAATGTAAGTCTTGACCAAGACAATAAAATCAAAGTTGGGTCAGGACCCACATTGGAGTCCGGCATCCTTAGGAACAGCCCTCAGGAACTCACTGGGATTTTGTGTGCTGGAGCTACCGAGGGTGTCTTTCCTGCCAGGTGTGTGTGGAGGCTAGAATGAAGCTGAAAAAGCAGGTGACAGTGTGTGGGGCTGTCATCTTCTGTGTGGCAGTCTTCTCCCTCTACCTCATGCTGGACCGGGTGCAGCACGATCCCACTCGACACCAGAATGGTGGGAACTTCCCCCGGGTGAGTCCTGGTTGCTAATTTCTCATATCTGGGCTCAAGTTACCCTGGGTAGAGAGACAGATCAGCACAGGACAGGAATAGCCCTTCCCAACAACCAGGTTTTATAGAAACCCAAAGCTAAACACAGGGATGGCAAAAAGAAAAGAGGAAGAAAAAAATGGTAGTATGTCTGCCGACGGGACAGCCATGTCCTCCTGAGTTCCTGGCAGACGTTGCTAATTGATTGCAGCATTCTTTCCCATTAATCCTGATGCAGCCTTCTCAGCACAGTGCTCCCAACAGGAAGCACCATTTGTTGAGAGAAGGTTTGTGAGATGGAAACTTTGCCATCAATGGCTAGAGAGGGTGGGTACTCCCAGCTCGCAGTGGTGATGTGCACCATCCATCGCTGTAGGCTTGCACTCTGGCTTTGACTGAGGAGGGAAGGATCATAGTCAGGTCTCGGGAGGTGGACCCCAGGCAGAAACCCTCCCTGTGACATAAGGAGTGGTGGATGATTGCTTTCTGGCTTTTTTTGCAGAGCCAAATTTCTGTGCTCCAAAACCGCATTGAGCAGCTGGAGCAGCTGTTGGAGGAGAACCATGAGATCATCAGCCACATCAAGCACTCCGTGCTGGAGCTCACAGCCAACGCAGAGGGCCCGCCTGCCCTGCTGCCCTACTACACAGCAAATGGCTCCTGGGTGGTACCTCCAGAGCCTCGGCCCAGCTTCTTATCCATCTCCCCTCAGGACTGCCAGTTTGCTTTAGGGAGCCGGGGCCAGAAGCCAGAGCTGCAGGTAAGAGTCAGAGCTGGCAGGGACCTCAGTGACTGCATGTTGGGTGCTAAGCTGTGTGTCTGCCTGTAGATGCTCGCTGTGTCAGAGGAATTGCCATTTGACAACGTGGAGGGCGGTGTGTGGAGGCAAGGCTTTGACATCTCCTATGGTCCACATGACTGGGATGCTGAGGATCTGCAGGTGTTTGTGGTTCCCCACTCCCACAATGACCCAGGTGAGGGTCCTGCAGACCCCTGGGACCTGGGGTGTGGACTGGGCTTTCTGGTAGCCAGGGTAAGAGGGGGACAACTGAAGAAGATGGTGGTGTCCTCAGGGGACCCTGCGTTGGTTCCCTAGGCTGGATCAAGACCTTTGATAAGTACTACACAGAGCAGACCCAGCACATTCTCAATAGCATGGTGTCCAAGCTGCAAGAGGACCCCCGGCGACGCTTCCTCTGGGCAGAAGTCTCCTTCTTTGCCAAGTGGTGGGACAACATCAGTGCCCAAAAGAGAGCAGCAGTCCGCAGGCCAGTGTGTCCCTTGGGAGGCACGGGGGTAGGGAGGATATAATGTCTTAAGTCTAGGCCTGTCAAGCAGTGGGTGCCAAGGTAGCAGGAAGAGGCAAGGGACCCAGTGCAGATGATAGTGGAGGTTGCTGGTATTAGTTGTCACAAGTTGTGTGAGCATAAGCAAAGAGAGACCGGTAGCCTTACCCCAGGAAGCATGGGCCAGATAGAGGGCCAGTGTGTGTTGTCCTGGGCCTGGGTTTGGGTGAGGTGGCTGAGGGAGGCCCTGACATCTGGTTATCAGGACTGGGGGAAGTGTCCCTGTGCTGTGCTGAGTGTGAGTTCACTTGTGAGTTGTCACAGGTTGTGTGAGCATAAGCAAAGAGAGACAATGGCCTTACCCCAGGAAGCACGGGCCAGATAGAGGGCCAGTGTGTATTGTCCTGGGCCTGGGTTTGGGTGAGGCCCTGACATCTGGTTATCAGGACTGGGGGAAGGGTCCCTGTGCCGTGCTGAGTGTGAGTTCTTAACTGTAGGTTGGTGGGAAATGGGCAACTGGAGATTGCCACAGGGGGCTGGGTGATGCCTGACGAGGCCAACTCCCACTACTTTGCACTGATTGACCAACTCATTGAAGGACACCAGTGGTTGGAGAGAAACCTTGGTAAGTCCAGGCCTGGTGCAGGGATCTGCCCAAAGAGCTGGGCCCAGAGTGTCACAGAAGGGTGCTGTGAGGCACAGGGGTTGGCAGGAGCTGTGGTTTCTAGGTTAATTCAACTAGTATGGGGCTGGTGCAGTGGCATCTGTCCACGGCCCGCTGAAGCAAGAGCCAGGGGCCCAGCACCCAGGAGGCAGAGAGGCTGGACCCTAAGGTGTTTGGGCTTCTCTGGCTCCCATGCCCTGCCTAGGTACAACCCCACGCTCTGCCTGGGCAGTGGACCCCTTTGGATACAGCTCCACCATGCCCTACCTGCTGCGCCGTGCCAACCTGACCAGCATGCTGATCCAGAGGGTGCATTATGCCATCAAGAAGCACTTTGCCGCCACCCACAGCCTGGAGTTCATGTGGAGGCAGACATGGGGTAAGGCCAGGTAGGGTTGAGGGGTCACAGTGGCATAGTCTTCACTGCAGAAGAGCAGGGATGTCAGGGCAGCCCACAGGTGTCAGTGCAGAGTGTCAGGGTAGTCTCGCATTTGGTTAGGGGAGGAACATGCTCTGGCCTCTGCAGGGCCTGCTGCTTGTCCTGAAGGAGCTATGGGCTCCAGGGCCTTTGTACCCTGTGCCACCCTGCATGTCTTCCCTGGCCTTGAGCTGGGTCACAGCCTCACCACCTGTTACAGGTCTGCCTTAAGCCTGAGCAGGTTCTGACTCCAGCAGCTGTGTGTTGGCAGCTGACTTTTTGTCCTCTACAGACCCAGACTCCAGCACAGACATCTTCTGCCACATGATGCCCTTCTACAGCTATGACATCCCTCACACCTGTGGTCCAGACCCCAAGATCTGCTGCCAGTTTGATTTCAAACGCCTGCCTGGTGGACGCATCAACTGCCCTTGGAAGGTGCCACCCCGGGCCATCACAGAGGCCAACATAGCAGAGAGGTGCCTGCTTCCAGCCCTAGGCTGAATGTGGTGTTGTGATCTTATTCCACAGAGGACCCAGGCTCTGGTCCAGCCATGGGGGCTGCATGATGCAGACCACATTTGGAAAATGGAGGGTTTGCTCAGGTTGTGAATTCAGGCCTTGGCAGCTTCAGTGCTGGCTCCTAACTAAGTCTCTCTGGAAACCTGGGATGGCTCTAAGCAGTTCCCTCTTCCAGAATGCTTTTATTTTCCTAAATTAGTATGTTTTCCTGTGTTCTGACAAATTGCCAGAACCAGTGACTAACTGAAAGACTCTCAAATTCAGAATAGCTCCTTACAAACTTGAGACTAACGTGGCTTCATGTAGCTCAAGTATTCTGACCTGGCTGTAAGTCAGCCAGGGTCCACAGGGCCCAGTGGACCTGGGGCTCATTCTCATCCACATTTGGTCCCACCAAACAGCCTCCACCTCTGAGAAAACAGATTTTTTCCCTTGAGAGAATCATCAGGGACCCCTATAGATGTCACTCTTGCTGAAATCATCACCCCCTCTGCCCCTTGGAAATTGCTGGTTAAGAGCAATCTAAACAGCGTTTTAGCCAGAATAAGTTGAACTGGTTTTCATGTTGCAATATCTGGTTTCCATGATGTCCGAGAAGAGAAACATGACCAAAAGGAAAAGAAAGTGGTCTTTTATTTCCAGAAATCTAAATGCTAATTCCAGGCAAGTGGGTTGGGCTCTGTAGGTATGATTTTTTTTGAAAGCAGCAGCTGTGCTCAGTGAGGCTGGCCCCCATTGACAAGAGAATAAGCCAGTAAAGAGAGAACTTTATTTTCTTCTTTGAAAGGTTTGCTACACTCGTGAATTAGGGAAAGTGGTAGTGGAGCAGTTTTCTCTTGGGAACAAACTAGAAAAGTGGAAGCTAGGTGGTGTAGTTAAGAAGATTAGTGACTGAACTGTGATGCTCCTAACATGATAACTGACAGGTCAGTCTAAAGATAGGAAGGGGCTTCTGATGTGCTGTAGGGTCTGTTTTTCTGTTGATGTTGGTAGTAATTTAGATGAGAAGGAAAACAATAAATGTTATATATAGTCCTGTTATGTGTCAGGCACTATTCTAAGTGCTTGACAAATTTTCTTTCTTTCTTTTTTTTTTTTTTTTTTTTGAAGCTAAGTCTTGCGTTGTCACCTGGGCTAGAGTACAGTGGCCTTAGGCCAGCTCATAGCAACCTTAGTCTTTTGGGCTCAGCCTCTGGAGTAGCTGAGACTATAGGCACCCACCATGACACCTGACTAGTTTTTCTATTTTTAGTAGAGACGGGTCTCACTCTTGCTCACACTGGGGTCAAACTCCTGAGCTCAAGCAATCCACCTGCCTTGGCCTCCCAGAGTGCTGGGATTGCAGGCGTGAGCCACCGTGCCTGGCCTCATTTGTTTCATTCCAGTTCTCATTATGTTATGTGGGTACACATTGATTGTATCCTCATTTTACTAGAAACCAAGGCTCAGAGAGGTTAAGTCACATATCTAAGACTGTGGGCAGAGCTGGAGCTGGTATGACGTGCTCTGGAGCCCAGGCTCCTGCCTTCACTATTGTTCAGTGTCAATAACTGGTGGGCAACATGGAGCTGGAGTGGCAGAACCAGGATCCTGGAAAATCCCAGCAGGTTGGGATGTGGGTCCCATCTAACCAGATGAGAGTTATTAGATATAAATGTAAGGTTCTTCCCTTAGCTTCAGAAAAATAAACATGAAAGTTCAGAATAATAGAAGATACCTCGCTGAGCAACACACACAGGAAACATGGTGATGGGCAGGTGCAGTATGAGGGACAGCAGGGCTGCTGTAGGTGCATGGCAAACACATGCTGCTCCCATGGCAGTGCAGGCCCCTCCAAGGGGTGCAGTTCTGTCTTCCCTTTGGGCATTGGCTCACCCTGGACTCCTGTATCCAGTGGTGGGCCTCTGACTCTAAGGGACATTGGCGAGAGAACCACTGGTGAGCAGATTGTAAACTGTCATGTGGAGACCAGATAGAAACCACACAGGAAGGGGAGCACACCCTGCTGTATGTGAGGGTAATAATGTGGAAGGAGGACTGGTATGTCCCAGGCAGTGACAAAGGACATAAGTGGGGTCAGGTAATCAAAGCTGTCAGTCACAGCCTAGCATAAGAAAGACCTCTCCACGGTGGTGCCTGTGGCTCAGTGAGTAGGGCGCTGGCCCCATATAGCAAGGGTGGCAGGTTTGAACCCGGCCCCAGCCAAACTGCAACAAAAAGTAGCCAGGCATTGTGGCGGACACCTGTAGTCCCAGCTACTTGGGAGGCTGAGGCTAGAGAATTGCCTAAGCCCAGGAGTTGGAGGTTGCTGTGAGCTGTGACACCATGGCACTCTACCGAGGGCGACAAAATGAGACTCTGTCTCTAAAATAAAAAAGACAGACCTCTCCAGTTGGAGAGAACGCTGGGTTCCCCTGGGGCTGAGTGTCCTGTCTTGGGAGGTGTCTACAGCAAGCCAGATGACTCTTCAGTGGGGGGTTTCAGAGAAACTAACTCTCAGGGACCTCTACTTGGTGGCCTTTTACCACTGACACTTCATGTGGGCACGTGTATTTCCTGCTCCAGGGCAGCCCTGCTCCTAGACCAGTACCGGAAGAAATCCCGGCTGTTCCGAAGCAATGTCCTTCTGGTGCCTCTTGGTGATGACTTCCGATATGACAAGCCGCAGGAGTGGGATGCCCAGTTCTTTAACTACCAGCGGCTTTTTGACTTCTTCAGTAGCAGGCCTGACCTCCATGTGCAGGTGTGAGGGCTCTGTGGGACCTCCTGGTTAGGGGCAGGGTAGGGGCATCTGCAGGGCTGCTGCTTTCCCCTTCCTGTGAACATCTGTGCTCTGGCTCCCAGCTTCAAAGAAGAGGCTCTTTCTAGGCCTTGGAAAGCATTTGCTCACAAGTCCCCTTTTGTGTTAGGCCCAGAAGGTTAGGGTGCACAGTCCTGCCTCTCCCAGGCAGAGTTCCTGCCCCAACCCTCAGCTGTAGCACTGGTGGCCAAAATTTCCAGGAGTTTCTAGCACTGATGGGCTTTTGGTGTCCCTACAGGCCCAGTTTGGCACCCTGTCTGACTATTTTGATGCTTTGTACAAGAGGACAGGGGTGGAGCCAGGGGCCCAGCCTCCAGGGTTTCCTGTGCTGAGCGGGGATTTCTTCTCCTACGCGGACCGGGAGGATCATTACTGGACAGGCTACTACACTTCCCGGCCTTTCTACAAGAGCTTAGACCGTGTCCTGGAAGCCCACCTACGGTGAGTCCCTACCCACTTCCTACTGAAGGGCTCAGAGTAGCCTTTAGGGTTCCAGGGGACAGGATTGGCTCTGAAGGGAATGGCTGCGCCAAGGCCTAGGCAGGCAGATTGGTTGGGCCTGGGGAGGGTGGGCAGGCTGCTAACTGCTCTCTTTGGGCAGGGGGGCAGAGATTCTGTATAGCCTGGCTGTAGCTCACGCCCGCCGCTCTGGACTGGCTGGCCAGTACCCACTGTCTGACTTCACCCTTCTGACGGAGGCTCGGCGTACCCTGGGGCTCTTCCAGCACCACGACGCCATCACAGGCACTGCCAAGGAGGCAGTGGTAGTGGACTACGGGGTCAGGTGGGGTCTCTTTCCCCATCAACTCTGCAGCAACCCCATTGCCAAAGAAAGGGTGTGGCGGGTGGTCAATGGGCAGACCTGCTGAAGGTCTCCCTGTGGTCACCCTCTGCCTGGTCCCCTGCCCCACCTGCAGGCTTCTGCGCTCGCTTGTCAGCCTGAAGCGGGTCATCATCAACGCGGCCCACTACCTGGTGCTGGGGGACAGGGGGGCCTACCACTTTGACCCAGAGGTGCCCTTCCTCCAAATGGTGAGGGGGACTCTACCTGGGGGGACCCCTGGCACATGCAGGTCCCATCCTGAGAGCTGTAGGATGAGGGTGCTCACCTCTTCCCCACCCTGGGGTGAGTCCTATGTCCAGTGTAGCTGGTAGGCCACAACCAGGACAGGTGGGGGTGGGGAGAAGGCGGAGCTCCATGGTGGCTCTTCCTTTCCTACCTTCCTAATTCCAGGATGACACTCGCTTAAGTCACGATGCCCTGCCGGAGCGCACAGTGATCCAGCTGGATTCCTCACCCAGGTGAGCCGGACTAGGTCAGATATGGAGACAAAGCCCCTACTTGACTCCCAGCCCCTCCCGCCCCACTTACTGGGCTATCTCAGGACTCTTGGCCTGGCTGTGGGGCCTGCTTCCACTGCCTGGGAGTGGCCACCTCCTGGTCAGTTCCCTCCATGCACAGGTTTGTGGTGCTGTTCAACCCGCTGGAGCATGAGCGGCTCAGTGTGGTGTCCCTGCTGGTTAACTCACCCCGCGTTCGTGTCCTTTCGGAAGATGGTCAGCCTCTAGCTGTGCAGATTGGCATGTATTGGAGCTCTGCTACTGAGGTGGTCCCTGATGTCTTCCAGGTGAGCTGGGTCTCCACAGGCAGGCCTAGCCTCAGCCTTCTGTGCCTGTTGTCGCCCCCACCCTGCCCACCAACCCGAGTTTCCCACCCCCTTCCTGGGGCCCTCTCTCTCCCCAGGCTAGGGCTGACTGTCTCAGAGATAGGGATGGCCCAGAGGACAGTCACTCCCGGAATCTGAGTCTGTCCTTGGAAGGGAGAAGTGGGTCTGGAAAGGACAATAGTAAAAACAGCCGTGATGACACTCTATTGTTAATTTACCCAGCATTTATCAAAGGCTGCCTGTGTGTTCACAGTTCCCTGTGTGCTCACAGCTCCCAGTCTTAGACATTATCTAAGTCTCCAAGTCTGATGAAGAGGAAGGGTAGATAATGTCTTGCCATTGTTAGGAGGGGATGGAGGCCCTAGTGGTTTCAGGCCCCTGCACCACAAGCCACATATGTTTCTTGCATCGTGTCCTCCCATGCCCACAGGTGTCTGTGCCCATCCGCCTGCCAGCCTTGGGCCTGGGTGTGCTGCAGCTGCACCTGGGGCTGGATGGGCACCGCACCCTGCCCTCCTCTGTGCGTGTCTACCTGCACGGCCGGCAGCTGTCCATCAGCAGGCACGAAGCATTCCCTCTCCGCATCATTGAGTCTGCCTCCAGTGACTTCACCCTCAGCAACCGCTACATGCAGTTCTGGTTCTCAGGCCTTACTGGGCTCCTCAAGGTAAAGGGCTAGGGGCAGCTGCAGGGTATATGTGTCAGTGGTTGAGCAGAGCTATGAGTATGTTGCCTCCTTGTATGGGGCCATTTCAGCTCAAATCTGGCAGCAGAGGAAGCTGGGCATGACTCAAGGGAAGTTACTCTGCCCTCTCAGGAGGCAGGCCTGACATGCTGGTATGGGGCCAGGGGTCAGGGCTATATTTTTTGGCAGAGCATCCGAAGGGTGGATGAGGAGCCAGAGCAGCAGGTGGACATGGAATTCCTTGTCTATGGCACCCGTGCATCCAAAGACAAGAGTGGAGCCTACCTCTTCCTGCCTGATGGTGAGGCCAAGGTACATTAAATATGCACAAACGACTTGCAGGCCCTGGGCAATCTCACCAGTGAGCAGGCAGGAGGGGACACGGGCCTTTGTCCAGGCTGCCTGCCTGCCTCTATGTCTCCTGGGAGGTGGCTAGGCACCTCTGACTGGGGCTGTGGGGCCAGGGCTTGATAGGAATGAGTACTTCTCCAGCTGGACCCTGGGCTGGCACCACCCTGCTTGGCTCTCTGTGCTGTGGGTTCAGCAGCCATTTACTCTTTTCCCAGCCCTACGTCCCCAAGGAGCCCCCAGTGCTTCGTGTCACTGAAGGCCCTTTCTTCTCAGAGGTGGCTGTGTACTATGAACACGTTCACCAGATGGTCCGTCTCTATAACGTGCCAGGTGAGCTGTGCAGGTGAGGAATGCTTGGTCTGGAAGGAGGTGTAGGCCCCACAGGCTGTAGCACATCCCTACCCCTTCTCTGTTTATACACACCTGTTCCCAGCACCTGTCATTTTTTTTTTAATTTAATTAATTTATTTTTTGAGGCAGTTTCACTTTGTAACTCTTGATAGAGTGCCATGGCATCATAGCTCATAACAATCTCAAACTCTTGAGTTCAAGTGATCCTCTTGCCTCAGCCTCCTGAGTAGCTGGGACTACAGGCACCTGTCACAACACCCAGCTATTTTTAGAGACTTGGTCTCGCTCTTGCTCAGGCTGTTCTCAGACTCCTGAGCTCAAGTGATCCACCTGCCTCAGCCTCCCAGAGTGCTGGCATTACAGGCAGGAGCTACCGCACCCAGCTCCTATGTGTCATTTCTTTTTTTTTTGAGATAGAGCCTCAAGCTGTCCCCCTGGGTAGAGTGCTGTGGCATCACAGCTCACAGCAACCTCCAACTCCTGGGCTCAAGCAAACCTCTGCCTCCCAAGTAGCTGGGACCACAGGCGCCTGCTGCAATGCCCGGCTATTTTTTTTTTTTTTTTTTTTTGGTTGTAGCCGTCATTGTTGTTTGGTGGGCCTGGGCTGGATTCGAACCCGCCACCTTAGGTGTATGTGGCTGGCACCTTAGCCACTTGAGCCACAGGCGCCGAGCCCTATGTGTCATTTCTGACAGGGATGCTTGGTTCTTCTGGAGAAAAGGTCATCTAAAAGCACCCTGAGGATATCCTGGGAGGCTAGGAGGCTCCATGCTCTTCCAGCCCAGTCTAAGGCTGTGGCTTCTCCTTACACTTTGCCACTGTCCCCCCTTGCTCTGTGTCCAGGGGTGGAGGGTCTGTCTCTGGACGTGTCTTTGCTGGTGGACATCCGGGACTATGTTAACAAGGAGTTGGCCCTGCGCGTCCACACGGACATTGAGAGCCAGGGTACCTTCTTCACAGATCTCAATGGCTTTCAGGTGACTCCTGGGGACCTCATAGAGCAGAACTTGAGCTGTGGCTTTGCCTCTGTCACAGCCCCGGGGGGTGGTCTGCCCTGATGAGAAAGAGGAATCAGAGGTGAGAATGATGAGGGGTGCCTTCAGCCTGGGGGCCTCTTGAGGTTGGTCTTGACATGCTGGCCTTCCCCTGTAGGTACAGCCTCGGCGGTATCTGAAAAAGCTACCCCTGCAGGCCAATTTCTACCCCATGCCAGTCATGGCCTACATCCAGGATGCACAGAAACGCCTCACGCTGCACACGGCCCAGGCCCTGGGTGTCTCTAGCCTCAGAGACGGTGAGCAGAAAGCAGGGGCTCTGCAGAGGGTACATGACAAGAAGCCCATTTCCCACCTTTAAGGTCATACCATGCTGTTGGCCTCCCTCACCTCTTTGCCGCTTGCCTTACATCCCCATTTGGAGAAGGGCAAGCCATTCGCAGTTCCCAGCGCTCACTGCAGCATAATAGGAAGTCAGGCCGCTGCTGTCACCTGTCCCCTGGTGGAGGCATCCGGGTAATGAGTGTCTTATCAGATCCCCTCAAGAAGTGTGGAGTGTTGAACGGTGATTCTCAACTGAGGTGTGCAGCCCCCATCCTTTATCCAGGAGCAAGAGTAGGGACAGCTTGAAAATGTGCTCTGTGTTATATAGGATGTGTATGGATTGTTTTCCCAGTAATGACCCTTAAAAGAGAGGATGACAAAACAAGGGCATGAGAAGCACCATCCTGGGGTTAGACCTGGCCAGCTGGACAGTTCCAGATGGCTTCCGTATCCTCAAAGCAAAGTGAGCAGTGTGCACTTGGTGGCCTCAGAGGCCCTTGAGATGCTCTATCCATGCCTTTACGAAGCACTGAGATGAGAGTGCCAGCCAGCACTGTGTGTGTGGCACAGTGGCACCTATGGGGGCCTGACTCCCTGCAGACACAGGGAGGGGTGCGGCCCTGTCTGCTGGGAGCAGCTCAGAGTCTTTGGGGCTAGGGGTGGCAGGCTGGGGCTCACAGTGGACTCTGCCCCCAGGCCAGCTGGAGGTGATTCTGGACCGGCGCCTGATGCAGGATGACAACCGGGGCTTAGGCCAAGGGCTCAAGGACAACAAGAGGACCCACAGCAGCTTCCGCCTGCTGTTGGAACGGCGAGCCATAGGCACTGAGGTAGACCTGGGCCTGCTGCCAGGAGCCAGGCCACACTGGTCCCCATGGGTGGCCCTGGGAGTTTCAGCCTAGGACTTGAGCATTGCTGGTGGTGGGCAGGGGGTAGAGACAGTGGGGCTTATTTCCAGGAATGGGGCAGTGTGGTGTTTGCTGACCCATCTTATGCAGCTTGGCCCTTCCTCCCCCAGTAGGGCTCTGTCCCCTGTGCCCCACGTGCCCATCCCCTGCTATGTTCGTGCTGCCCTCCTCTGCCCTGCTCTGGCCCAGGCATGTTCTGACCTACTCCAGCCCTGCTCATCCCATGGTTTGCTTTGCCCCCACTAGTTTGACTTTTTCTCCAAACTGGCAGCCATGTTTAGGCCCAGTGACCCAGAGATGAGGGCTGGCGGGGTACAGGGACTTGTGGGAGCAAGATGTCACTCAGTTGCCAGGGTCTGTAGCTCCGTCACTCTTTCATCAAGTGGATGCTGAGTGTGTACTTAGCTGTTTAACTGGGAGGAACATGATTGAGCACAGCTCCACCTCTGCCAGCTCACTCAGGAGCAGGTGGGAGACACTGTGTCCATGGGTCCTGAGAACAAGATGATGTTGCTCCTGGGGCGGCGCCTGTGGCTCAAGGAGTAGGGCGCCAGCCCCATATACTGGGGGTGGCACGTTCAAACCCAGCCCCAACCAGAAACTGCAAAAAAAAAATGATGCTGTTGCTCCAGAAATGAGAAGCAGCTTCCTGGAGGTGTCATCTAAGCTCAGCTTTGAAGTACGCAATGTGGTTTGAACCCAGGACCCAGCTGGGACACAGGAAGGACAGTACACATAGGGGGCACAGTGATTTTATCAGTTAGACAAGAGCTGCGTAAGCATAGCAGTCACCGTGCAGTGCGCCCATGCAAAGTAATAAAACAGAATCACACAAGATACTTTGCTTTTTCATCACATGGCCATGTTCCAAGTGCTTAGGAGTTCAGTGGCTGC